AGTTCCTCTTCGTCTGCAAGCGCTTCTTCGCCTTTCATCACTTTTTCATCCAATTCGGCTATATTCTTATGTAATTGCGCCACATTCTCCTTCTCACGGAGCTTCTCATTGAGCATCTCCTGCAAAAAAGCAGCATTAAATGCGCGAGTTTATTTGATTCTCATGAAATGAATGCAAATATTCAGAGCTAGCGATTCGTTCTTGTCCGACTTATGTTCGTCAGCGACCACATACGTGAATCCGAGAGAAAAAAAAAGTTCGGAATAACTCACCCTGCATTCAGAAGCCATCATCTCTGCTCTTTCGCGTTCTCTTGGGAGAGAAGGTAATTGCACTTCATGTTGCTGAGATTGTTGAGCAATGTCGTCAAGCTGCACCGCGATGTCACGCTCGAGTTCGTTCACTACGTCATTCAATAGAGCGATATGTTCTTCGATAGGTTCTGTCGGTTCACGTTGCTTCTTACCTTCAGCTCTCAGACGTTTGGCTTCCATCAATGGTTTCAGCATTGTGTCAAGATCATCATTACGCTGCGAAACGTTTGCCAATTTCTCTTCAAGTGACTTCTCCATGGCATCATGCTTTTCTTTGTCTGCTCGAATTTGTTGTATTCTCTCACTTAACGCTTTTGTTTCTTCATCTTCCGTTGGTAGCTGCCGCAATTGTTCTTCAATGTTGATCAATTGTTCTTCAACCGGCGCCTCAGTACTTAACTTCTCCAGCTCCAATCGAACCATTACGATCTTCTCCTGTTTCTCAGCCTCAGCCAACTCTGTTATCTTTTGTCGAGTGAGTTCAGCAATACTCTCCAATTCTCTTGCTAATGCATCTGTCGACGGTTCTGAGCTACGGTCCACATGAACGCGTGTCTGCTTAGCCTCATCATGCTTCGACTTCAGCAAATTATACTGTGCTTGTAATGCTGGTAGTTGGTGTTGCAGAATCTGAAAGTGACAACCACGATACTTTACACTCCTGCATGTTTTTATTTCTTGATTTCTTTCGAATTCTTTCTGTTTAGTTCACTTTGTGTTTTATAATTACAATTCCTTGATGTACTACTATCGCATGGATCATCTCCAAGTACATTTTTTTAAAATTAAAAATTCATATTCTAGACCGTCAAAGAGAATCGTGATCGATCACTCGCCGATTGCATAAGTACAGTTCAATATGCTAACCTCATCAAGCTGTTCATGGTTCAGTGCAGCTTTCAGCTCATCGCTGAGTCTGAGCAGCTCGTGGTGGAGCTGCTCGGTTGATTCACCGAGGACGTTTTCGTCGTGCAACTCGTTATCTATTAATGACATCAAATCCTCGTACTGCTGCTGTGTTTGCTCCACATCGACGTCGAAGAAGCGCACATCAGCATATGAAGTTTCGAGTGGATCCAGTTGCTCAGAGAGTTCTTGCAGAATTGCCATAATCGATCTTATCTTGTTGAGCTCATTGCTGGCGCCCTGAATGATTTAAAACAATTGCTGACTATCCTCTACCTTGCAGTCAACGTTGAAACAAGATCAACTTCAATATCGAAAAGTATCTCACATGTAATTTATACAATGCTCTAATGTTAAAATAAGTCGTAGAATCTCAACAAACCTTCAAGGCGTTCAGATCACTCATCACTTCTTCTGATGACCTGAGTGGTTTAGATTCGATTTCATCGAGCGGTCCTCGCATTGCCTCCAACTGATCATTAGCGTTATCACGTTCGGCAACAAACCGTTCCCATATATTCGCACGATGTAAGAGCGCTGAATGCACCTCTTTCGCTTTACCAACGAGCGCACTGAGTGGCATAATCTTTACATCCTCCTTGGGTGCATCCTTCAGCACTTTTTCAGCGTTTTCTACAGGAAGTACAAATGCATCCGCTGAGGTGCTATACATCGACGGCGTTGCTTCTGAATCGCTCAACAATCTCTCGGCTTCTGCGATCAGTGCTTCCAAATCAGAAGTCAATTGTTCGGCATCACCATGCATTTTCTCAAGAGCAATCGCATCATCTAATTGCTGTTGCGCGGCATTGCGCTCATCCTGAAAATGTGGCTCGTTACAGCGGAACATTTTTGCCAATTCGGCATACGTTTAACACAACAACAACAACAAACAAGCTTCTTCCTCACTATTACTGAATGTAAATTCGTCGTTTTGCTTACCTCAATTCTTTGCTTTGCGGCTTCAATTGCGAGTAATATGTTTCGCTTCTCGTCCAGCATCGCTTCATCTAATTCTTCCTCGGGAATGCTATTCAATTTGTTTCTCAGCTTCTCCGCATTCAACAGCTTCTCCTGAAAGCACATCAGTGCAGCTATTTTCATTTTTAGGATTCGTCTGCGGTTGCAAGTGGATGTGACATGATAGAATTGTGCATTAATCAACATCACGTGTGATCACTTTCACCCAGTCCGCTCTCTCATCAAATCGGTTCTGATCAAAGCGGAACTCATGAAAGAGATGTTTGCATGCAAAACAATTGGTGAAGTACGATTTGTGCAATGAAGTGTAGATTTGAGTAAAGAAAATTGAAGCGAGCTACTAAACGTATTAGGCAAACGTGCAGTGGCATATTTTCTCTCGACGGTTCTCCTCACACAACTATCTAAAACTCTGACTCGACTGACAAAATTGAGCCTGATTTTTGTTTTCAGTCCTGGAAACCAATTCAGAAACTAATTTCAATACATTCCGAGCGCACGACCAAACTCCTATTCATTCACTTCCACTCCGTCTAGACGTTTGAGTGGAAACGAACCGCATGTGATGATCCCTCGTCAATCAACTTACTTGAAGTTCGTTGACATGATCGGTGATTGCTTGTATTGAATCGGAGTCGAGACGTACTTCGCCAGGTGCTTCAATAGCAGCCAATTGCGCCTGTACCTCATCTTTTGTGGCCTTGTATGCAGCTAACGCAGCAAGCTTATCACCAACTACAGCTGCCAAGCGTTTCAACAGATCATTCAACTGTCCCAGCTGCCAATAGCTGCGTTCACGTAACTCATCACCCTCTGCACCGGCTGGAATGCCCTCAATGAGACTTTCCAATTGCTGCTTTTTCAACTCAAGATCTTGCAGTGTTGCGCTCTGTTCATCTAGCGGCTGTAATGGCAATTGATCCAACTCGTCCGCATGACGCTGCACACTTTCGGTGATCTGAGTGATTTCTGGACTTAGCGTATGCAATTTGGCACGATCCTTTAGCTTTTGCTTTTTATCATCGAGTGCATCTTGCAATTGCGTCACGCGACCTAATATGTCATCGCTCAGTGGTGTTCGCTTGACCAGATTCTCGGGCGATTGCAGTCTTTTCACAAGTTTTTCAACCTTCGTCTTCAACTGACGCAGGCTATCACCGAGCTGAGTAGCGTTCTCCAGTTGCTCAGACGGCTCACTTTCGGGATCTATCGCAACAACGTCATCTCCGATTGACGTCATGTCGCTAAGGATGCTACGCAAATCACGAAGAAGATCTTGCTCTTCGACAATGTCCTTCTCAAGTGGCGTCAACAGATCCTGCAAAATTCATATGTACATATATATATCAAAAAAGCCTGCTCACAAATAAACGACTCTCCTCATACTCCTTACTTGATTCTGCCCCGGACATTGTGAAACAACATCACTAGCATTCCTCAGTGTCGGTCAATTCGTGTTCTGCTCAATATCACTACTTAGTTTTCACCACATCTGTCAGGTTAAAGAAAAACGATCAAACGTTCAGGCTCACCTTAATGCTCGATTGAGTTGTGTCCAGTAGTTTCGTCAGTTGATCCTGACGCTGCTCATCCTTGATTTCATTTATCACCGACGGATCAGGCAACTGCTCCAACAATGCTTCTAAACATTTCGAATCGTCAACGGCGGTCGTTAACTCTTGTGGACCAGTATACTTTTGGGCAAAAGCGTTCGCCTCTTGTCGGATGCTTTCTAACTTAGCCAAGGTATCTGCGACCAGTTCATCTTCATGTTTCGCCTCTTCAAGCTTCTTCAGTGCGCGCCTCTCTAATTCCGCATATCGTTCTTTTAGTGCTTCTTTATCCATTCGAAGTTGTTCGGTTTTCGGTGTCACAACGTCTGACTGAATTCCATCTATCAATGCCATTTTGTCGGCCACCGTTCGCAACGGTTCTCCGATAAACAGCTCTAGAGCATTCACCGACGGTTCTGTCTGCTCGAATCCGACCTCTGCATCCTTCAATGTTTGTTCCAAGTCAGCTACCGCAGCGAATAGAGTGCTCTCAGAATCGCGTTCTTTCTTCAGTCTAATGACTTCATCACGAAGACCCTGAAAGTTCACCTCATGAAAGCGTATAATCGTTTGAAATGATGTATCGAAAGTGCAAAACCGAAAAAATGCGAATATTGCGACAAGTAATGGGAAACTGTGAACGAAAACACATTAGTTCCTGCTAAGAAAATACCTTCAAAGTGTTGTCCATTTCTCGTTGACGACTGTTCAGGGCGTCAGCATGAGATGCAGGCTCGATGAGTGGAGTTAACTCTTGTGCGCTTTCAGTGAGTTCATCGAGCGATGGACGTAGGCCACTACAACGTTCAATGATGGCATCAACAGATGAAAGTTCCACTTCGGCACTAGGTGCTCCTTGCTCACGAACGCTTTCGTCCAGCTCAGATAGACGACTCTCGATATCAGCGGCATTTTCGTTGAACCGATTCAGATTGTCAACGCGATCTTCCAACGCTCGCTCTACAGCGTCATAGTTCTCAGCCAGTTTCGTCTGCTCGTCAAGCATTTGCGCACGAATAACATCTGTATCGGGCGATTTTTCAAGCTGTTCGTATGCGTCTCTTAGTGCATCTAAGTGTGGTCGAGCCCGTTTCAGTTCATCAACTGCATTCTGCAACTCATTCGAATTTGCATTCGCATTGTCTTCAGTTTTCTGTGCGTTCTCAATAGCGTCGCGCAACTGGTTCGTTTCTTTTGCGATCGTTGAAGTTAACGCAACAAGTGCGAGTTGCGCGGCCAAATGTTCTTCTTTCTCACTCAGTAGTCGTTCAATATTTTCTAGCTGATTTGTGAGCGAATCAACTCTCAGCGCCTCTGGATTGAACACAAGACGAACAGGTTCTTCTTGTTTCCGTTGTAGCTCGTTTAGTTGTTGTCTTACGCCGCCGAGCTCTCGTTTGATTTCGGTAAGCTCCATCGACTCAGCATCTCCAACTAGCGTACGTCGGTCGACTGCACTGTCGCCCAACTCATTCAGTTTCGCACTTATTGCCTCATGCTCATCAAGCAACTGTTTCTGCTTGTTGACGTCTTCAGTGAGTGGTGCCAGCAGATGCTCAACATCGCTTTTCGCTGCATCCAGTTCACTCGACAACTTGTCGACTAGATCAACAGCATTTTGACAATCAGGTAGCGTTGTTCTGATGCGTTGTTTTGCATCCGTGAGTTGCTGCTGAGCTTCTTTCATGCGCTCCACCAATTCGTTTGCCTTCTTCAAGTCGTTGCAAGCACTGCTGTACGGCTTTGCATTGTTCGCGTAGCTTTCAACCAGTTCCCGCGCTTCAGCGATGAGCGCCTCATTATTATTCATCAGTGCATCCTTGCTGTTGTCCCAATCACGCAACGAGCTTAGCAATGGTGCAAGTTTTTCACGCAACGCACGAATCCGATCCAACAACCAGTTGCTGTGCTCACGTTTCTTCTTCGCATCCTTACGGTCTTGTTCGTTGAGTGAATCCATATCAGAAGCGTTGAGTTGTTCAAGCGCTGCAACCAACGAATCCTCTAACTCCTCAACCGCCTTCAGTTTATCCGCAATCAACGCAGAATCATCAGAGTGCTTCAGTTCCTCTTCGTCTGCAAGCGCTTCTTCGCCTTTCATCACTTTTTCATCCAATTCGGCTATATTCTTATGTAATTGCGCGACGTTCTCCTGTAATTATTGCTGATTTAGGCAGATGAAATGGGAATTCTTTAATAGAGATTGATTTGGTGATTATTTTTATTGCGATTTGGATGATATTCTTTCTCAGTACGTTGCACTAAAACCTCATACTGGTACAGACTCTTCTGTAGTTTATGTCAATTGACACATGATAAGTGTTTATAGAGCTGGATTTTGCATTTTACCGGTTGTTCTCTCTCGTTTTCTGGTTCTCCGACCATTTCGGCAGCTTTTTGTTTGATTTGCTCGGTTTTCTCACGATCCCTCGCCTTGATTTCCTTATTTAGTTCTTCTTCAAATGTCTAAAATTGATTTAATTCGGCTATTATTCCATGAATTCTTTATTTCAACCCAGATTCTTTGTGCCTACATCACATAAAAGCCTTTATTTTTAACACTGTTCGTGATGCCTGGGAGTGAACGGAATCTGCCGAGTAGGGATGGATGTGCTACGAGATCTAAAATTTGTTGTAAGCATGGAATTTCAACTGTTTCACGAATTAGGCTCAGTTGATTACATGGAGCGTTCAGAGATCGCTTTCACGAAAATTACGTAAACATTGCTCGAAATGAGAAGGACTTTTAATAAAAATTTTCTTCTATTTAAAAGTCGAGAATTCTTTTGAAGGCCACGGAAGAAGACGCAGAAGAAATAATAGGGTTGGAAACTCACTGATACTGTTGTAATGAGCACATTGATTCTTTCAATATATTGTGGAACATCACTGGGAGGAGAGGGTTCACGATGCAGCGCTCGCAAAATGCCTTCTAACTGAACGCGTCCTTCATGAGCCACTTCTACCGAGTTCTCCAACTCACTTTCCGGTTGCTTTGTGAAGTCGCGGCCCAATAATTTCGACAAGCTTATGTCTAGTTTCTTTGCTAATGCGATTAAGGCATCAATATTTCCGTTTTCATGACCCTCTTCCATGCTTTCATTTATTTCATTTAGTTTCGTTCGAAATTCCAACAATTCCTCTTCCATCGGAGTTGGCGATCTTCTTAATTCATCTTCCACAACCTAAGAAAAATTATGTTGTAAAAAGTACATCTATTCGAGAAGTAAGACAATGACTAGATAATTCGATTATTAATGAGAAGCAAGACAATCACTATACGAGAAACCTGCACTTTCATTAAACAGTGAAATGAGGAGTGCTAACCAACTAGGCGCAGTTTCGTTTAAGGAATAAACGAAGGAAAATAATCAATTAATCAAGTAAGGATATGCAGTTATTGAAAGCAAACTTGAATAATGGTTGTGACAGTCTTCGACACCATCAAAACGATCCGTTTCCTTCCTGGGGTACTACTGGGTGATGACGCAGGCGATGTCTCTTCGATGGAGTCTTCCACATATTTACGAGCTTGCGAGCATTGTACACGAAGCAAAGCCAACTGTGTTTCAACGTTTTCCAGGTGATATCGCATCTAAAATATTGCACTCGAGATAGAACACTCGTAGATAAGTAATAACTTCGCGCAATAGCATACATTGAAAACTAAACTTAGATAGGCATCGTCACCTTTCAAAAGCATTAATTCGATATGAGAATTAGAGTGGTTTGTGTGCTGATGAATAAGATAATTGGAAAGATTGAATGACTCGTCTTAACTTAAAAGCATTCAAATTCAAATGTTTCTTCTATACACGTTCCTATGACGCCTGTCAAAGCACATCAAAATAACATCAGTGACCTCAAAAAATTATCACAATGACTCACATCACTAACAGCACATCTTCCAGGATGACGGTTTACGTCGCCGGTCAGCCGATCAAGCTTGTTTTTGATACTTTCATAATTGGCTCTGAGAGCCAATTCGTCATCTATTTCATCGCGAAGTTCTTTCAAAAATTCCTGCAACGGATGCTGAACATTATATTCACCTTCATATATTCGAAGTGCCTCAGTCCTACTCGTATGAGGATTTTTAGCCGCTAGAAAACAAGTCGCTGAAAAATGCCGACGAATTAAAACACTCTAACTCTTTAATGTGATTACAGCCTATTGCAGAATGTTATATGATGTGAAATGCATGAGCATCACGCTAGTAATAACTGAAAGTTGAGTGAATTACTAATCCCAAAGTAAATAACCATACACCATTAAAAAATTAGGAAGTGACAAAAGTCGTGCGTGATTAGTTTACATTTCTTCATAGACAAAATGATTTTTCAAAATAAATCAAGATCCCATTTTTTATTCAGTTAAAAACATATTTCTTCATACTCCTTTCATTTTGCAGAATTTTATACTGCCACTGAAGATAACGCAATATTTTACTCACCTCAATTGGTCTTTTCAAAGACTGTGCTTGATGGATGAATGCTCGCAAGATTGCAAGATCGCCTTCATCGAGCTTGCTCGATAGTTTTTCGCATTCGTCTTCTAGGAGCTGTCTCCTTGCATGAAGACTCTACAACAGTATTCAATTTGTTAACTGAGAGTATTGTACAACAACAGAACTGAATTCTTCTATCTCTTGTACTCAATATACTCCATGATCGCAGTGAATTACGAGACCTCATATAACATCTCATTCATCCGTTTAAGATCCCGCTCTTGACATCGTTTTATTTCAGTGCCTGCTGAACATACGTGGCTATATGATATTTCGATTTTCTTGTCATTTAAGAGAATTTCCTAACTGCCCATTCATTTCCTATTAAGAAACGTTAACTGAACAATTCAACATTCACTGTTAATGTTTTGTCCATAAAGTTAGCATGAAATAGTTTTTTGTCTGGCTATTACGCTTTCAGTAATGCTAAAATATGTTTCAAGAGCACTATGCAAAGCCTACAGGGTCTCTAAAGCGTGACATTTCCAACAATACTCCACTTCGCTCCATCCGATTTGCCCTCACTTCTTATGATCATTTGTTTTCTGATATCTATTGATAGACTATTCAAAATTGCCGCTAACATTCTATTAACAAACATTAACCTGTAGCGTTTGGATATCATGCTCTGCTTCGGAAACTGGTTTTAACGAACGTGCGTAGTCTGCATTTAAAGCACTTAATGATTCAGCTATTCCGTTCAGCTCCGCATCAGTATCACGAAATAATTGTTGTAAATCAGTGAGATCCTCGACAGAACATATCTGTGCAGCCTTTAAAAAATAAAACCTCTGGTTACATTGACACCCAAATTTTGATTTGATGTTGAAAGGAGAATTGAAAGCGGTAAGTGGAGAAACTTTGATATGCAGTTAAGACTGAAGATTCGTGAGAAGAAAGACATGACAGCGTCATCTTCGACTATCTGTTTTGGGAAGAATGATAAAACTGCTCACACTGACGAGAGATGGAGTTTCTGAATGATTAGTTAAAAAGAATTGATTCATGTAACTGAACATAAAACGAACCGAAATTTTTGACACTGGGTACTCCATAAATTCATGACCTTCACCTTCTGTCAGGCTCGATTCTCCCCCTATGTTTTCCTCCAGATCAGAGCTTGACAAAGAGGATAAAGAAACCTAAAATTAACATTTTGTATATGTACGAATATTTGGACCTTCATGCAACCTGCGCTACTTATCATTAGTTTTACAGTGGGATACCATATCATTGATCCACTCTCTTAATTCTGCGACGCTCGGAGATTAATTCTAGTTAAGAGGTCGAAAATAGCTGATAGCCTGCTAAGGATGGCCAGCTTTTGAGCGCTAAAAAAATTGTGAAACTCTGAAGCGCAACCTGTGATTGCATCGAGGTGGAAGGCAGATGCGAAACAGCGACCCTTGGAACAAATTTGACGTCCAAATGCGATACTTTTTCAAAAATCACGCGGAATCGCTCACAACACAATTCCGCATCAGTAGAATATGGTTCTGGAAGTTTAGCTTTTTCCAATTTTTTGAAAACATTTTCACGTGCAAGGCACATTTCTTTTATCGCGAATAGTTCTTCGCATATTTTTGCATCATGTTCCACAGGTGCACTTTCAATATGTGCGATATCTTCTTCGACCAATTCAAGCCAGTTAAGAAATGTTGGTAGTTTCGAAATAAGTTTCTCCTTTTGACGCTTCTTCTTTTTCGACACGTTTTTCAGCTTTGATATCTGTTGTTCAATTTTGAATGCCCATCGTGACATTTCGTTAATTTGATATCGCCGACGCTCGTCTTCGTTATTTATTGTTTTTACCTGCAGCAAAACAACTTTGAGATGCCAAAGTAGCGTACTAAGCGTACATGGAACTCAGTGAAAGAAACTGTATGATTTCACATTAAAGTCGAGAACAATAGTTATCACTCATGAAAAAATGATTTGAATTTGATGATATGAAAGCAAGGAAAAAATAAATAAGAGTTGAACCAATAATGATTAAAAACGGAATAATTTTCGTTCGTTAATTGTAAAACATTTACCTTTTCCAGTTTTTTATTCCACGGAATAAATTCATTGACTTCAAATTCCTCAACCAGTGGCAATCTTGCCTCTGTAATTTCGGTTTGAAGGAAGGTCTCCATCTTGTCCTGTTCATCTTTCAATTGTTGGATTATTTTCTCGACATTTGATTCTCTGATCACCTTTCGACGCTCACATCGGTCAGTCAATTCTGTTCGAAGTTTATTCACAATCTAAATATAAATATTGATTCATAGGAGCAACGCTTGCATGTCAAATGAGTAAACAGCAAAAAAAACAATCGATGCGCGTTCAGTTTCAGTTCCAGCGAACAGTAGATCGTCAATTCAAAAGTAAATATCAAATCGAGGACTTCGGCGCTAACTGAACAAAAACGATTGATAAAATAAACCAGACAGTTTCCAGAACTTTTACGTTCGAAGAAGAAAAGATTCTCGCAATCTCATTGTCGCAGCTAAGCCCTCTTCATTGTCTCTTTAATGATATCGAAATTCGTCAAAGATTTTTGACTGGCGCGGAATCGAACTCACGCCTTCTGAACAGGTCGGATCCTCAAAGCCCAGCTTTACACCAGTACCCTATTGGCCCATTTCTCACTAATTTCTATTTTATTTAAGAACTATCTTCTTTATGCACTATCAACATTTTATGCCGCCTTTTCGCGTTAACGGCGACACTCTCCGAGTGAATTGGTTTGAGCTTCCTGAATCAGTAACTTTATATACGTCAAATTAAGAGGGATTAAATTTCTTACGAGATAAACGCAGTCAATGAACGACTTAGTAAAAATCAATATCCCGGCTACAGCCATCAATGAAATGCGAACGAGTTAGCCTTGGATTGTGGATCGTCATAGGTCCATAGACCACAGTCCTAAGAAGCGGTGGAACAGACGGTACAAAACAACTAACTATCACATAAATTTCTTCCTTGAAACTATCTCTTGTGTGAGAAAAAATAAATCAAATTGTCAATCTACCTTGTTAGCTTCCTCCTTTTCCGAATCACAAAGCTGGTCAGCAAGCTTTTCAAGAGATTCTATCATACTGATTTCCTTCTGCTCATCCTCCTGCATAAATGTATCATTAGCAAGAAAATCAATTTATTTGACTGCTGTTTTTATGGTGCAAAAATACAAAAACAGTAGCGACATAAAATATTTACTGTCATTAGAATATTGCGACCATCGAGTAAAATTGAGTTTCCCTGTCTCTAAATAAAATCCCACTCGCAAATGTATGCCCTCTAGTCAGGCTATATTTTCGTATCTATCAACGGAAACATTTCTCGCCTGTAACTTTAACATGGAAGAAATCTGAGTTGCTTTTATGTTTTGTTCTAGCTGGTCGATATTAACGAGAGAATTCTGCAGTTCGCTTGCTGTGGCAGCAAACTGTTGAAACAGATCAGACGACCCTGTTGGCTTGTCCTGTAAACGTCAAGTGTTTTACCTTAACTGGCTCTCAAAACATTACCCTCCAACAGTGTTTGCGCTGAATATATTTCTGTGAATTATATCCACTGCACTCATATATGAAATGATTAGTGTGTTTGATTGACAGGCAACAACAAAGAGAGTACTAGAATATTACTTGGTGAAGATATTTTTCTGCACACAAGCAGTTGAAGCCACAAAATTTCTCGATGTGTTGCAATAAAGAGCTGTCAAAACCCAAAGAATGTAAAAAGTAGTCTTCAATATATACTTTCATTCATCATGCAAGTTTGAGATGTTTACTCAGTAGCATCAGCTACCAGTACATACTCAAACAAATAATTATAACAAATGAAATGAAAATTTCTGACATCCACTAACTGCAAACCTATGCGAGCACTGCTTACCTCTAACGCAAAAACTGGCAAATTTCGTATCCTACTGATAGTATCGGTAACCTCTGCATCAGTAATGGCCATATTTGCACCGTCTTGACATCTGGTAAGTTCGCGGCCAAGACTTTCAATCTTGTCGAACACACCATTCATTTCGTTCGTCTGAAATGAAAGTCCAGCCAGTTTACAATCATTGGTCGGAAATTTTAAACTACGCTCCTGTTAATATATCTTGTAGGATTATTCATCTTGATTCAAAATGGTTACCCTAAACAGTTTGAAATTAGAAGGAAAATCATAAAGAAAGAAAAGATGAGCATCTAATCACAATTCGTTGCACGTCGACTTGGTTTCCTTCAGAGGCATCACGAATGCATTTCAACAAGTTTCCTTCAGCATTCTTTACAAACTCTTGGAATTCTTCGAATTTCAGAAGGAAGTCTTTCCTCTTCGTCATCAATCCCTTTATTTTTTCCAGCTGTGTGACCAAAAGTCGCAATCTATAAAAAATGTCCATAACACTGCTCTGGGATTCTTCTAGTTGTGATCCATTCAAGTGACCAAAACTTCATCACTTCCACAAAAGGTATATCTTGCCTTGATTGAAAGTATTATTCGCAATGGAAGTATATTTCCCAGTTGCTGCTAAGTTAGTCACTGCTGTCACAAATCCCTCCCATGAAAAGTGACTTTCAGTCGTACCCACTGCATGGTGAAAAACGACATGTTCAAACCATGCATTTCAAATAAATTGCTTCCTATGTTAATTCAGCCTCCAAGAATAGTTTCCACCTAACCAGTTGGTGCATTGCTAAAAAAAATGTTCCCTTCGGTTGCTCCTTTTTTTCTAACCCTAGTCTTTACTGCTTATTAATTGATGAATTGTTAATAGCTCACTACATAATATACTATGCTTCGAGCAAATAAGTTGTTTAGCTTATTAAACATAGCTCGTTCTATGACTATAATTTTATAATTAGCGTGTTTACTTATGCCCCACGTTTATGCATTTGGTCTGGAGATAATCGTCAGCATTTTCAAAGCCGTTAAAACCGCCCTGTTGTAACGGTACTTACTTCTGCTTCACGCGGTCGCATTCTAGCTGAAAGAATGACGCTTGCACTGATTCCAGTTGTGCACAAAGTGCGTTTGCTTCAGGATTATGCTCTGTTTCAACGTGAGACAAAAGCTCATCCAAACGACTGCGCACATGTGGAACCTGCAAAATATTCTTATTCCAACTGATTGATTTCCGTTCAAACCACTACTGTAGGTAAAATATCCTAGAATAAATGGAATGATCTCAGAAAATTGAACGACGGTGTGACAGTGATGAGAACTGATTACTCTGACAACCAGGACGCTCTGAAAACGATATATAAAGAAATGCATTCAATAAGTGTGAATGAGCAACAGAAAATGTAAAGCGACGAAACGTTAACTTCCCAATGAATTTCTCAATTCCCAAGTGATGAGGGGTTCATTATTGAGTTACTAATGCTGGTCAGAAAAAGAGTCTGACAATCCTTCATCATTCGGAACAACTTTACAACAATTTCCATAAATATTTTAATGAGAATCTTAGGTTAGTTATAAGAATAAACTTAATGAAATTTTTATTGATCCTAGGCTTATACCATTGGATATTATGAAGGCGTTTACAATCTTTAATAATAGGTATAATTCGCATGTTCAGACTATTAATTCCGTCCCAAGAATTTCATGAAATAACTGTTGTAAATGTATGAAGATATTTATGCTATTTATATGCTGATCACAACACATTACCACTGAACACTCTCGTATTGATTTAACACATGTTAATGTAAATTATTCGAGTAGTATAGACAACCATCGACTTACGACGGTTGGACTTACGATCAGCCGTCTTATAGCCAATATTTCCCAAAATTTTTCTTCGGAGGGAAATCTTACTACGCAAAACTGTTTCGAGATAATAACAATGTGATATCACGGATTCAAACTGATAAGTGATTTTGCCACAGTGATACCAACGACTGCACAATTACATTGAAAGCTCATTATTTTAGTGAGGTACAACAATACTCATTACTTACAGCATCACCATAATGCTACCCACTGCTTCATTATTTTAAAACAACTTCCTCACGTTGAAGTTTCCATAATGAAAACGGGTGTTCTATTCATAATGATGACCAGTTTACTCAATCCTCAGTATAATTACAGTCGTCTGTGTTAATGAACCATTCAAAAAAAGTATCGTCTTGACCAAACAAACTAAAGAACAGTATGAAGGTCGTTGATCCCGAATTGAAAATTAAAGTGATTGCGCAGTATGAAAGTGGAAAAAACATGCTCACAATCTCAAGTGATCTCAAATTGTTACATTTCGCTATCATAAAAAATGCTATTCGATGAAAACATTAATTAAATAGTGAAAAAGGCTTATCTGTAGAAAATATATTCATTTATGCTCAACTTCGAAGTGCGGATGTTTCGTGGTAGTTCATAACTGTGGTCAGACTTACGACCAAACCTGACTTACAACTAAACTGTCGTGACCGCAGTCTTAAGTTAGATCTCACGTCTACTTGATCAGAATAGTATATAAGGACAACTCTTTAAGATACTGTGCAGTTTTGTTCAGTTGGCTCAATACAATATTGATATGTGCCAGCTTGGAGCACAGTCTAATTTTGATTGTTATTTTGAATCAAAACATACATTTACAAAATATTTCTTATTATACTATAGTACATACTATTGCAAGAGATCGACATTGTATTTCACGTGAGCGTGATCGCGTCTGACATGTATCACGTGAGTCGATTGTAGATACTGTGAAACAAGCAAGATTCATCATCAGTTATCATAACTGCATGAGCCTTTGGTTTGCAGTTGCTCAATCAAACTGATGGCGTATTCCAGAAGAGTTTGTCGTCCACCTCGATCAAATACTTAACTCATTTACTACATTCAAGTAGCAACCTAAAGATCAGACAGCTGTTTGTACTTATCGTCTCGAATAAGAAGTATCACTGACGACTGACTTGTCGAGTGATATTTCCGGAGCGATTTAATGCTTTTTCCCTTCATCGTTCGACATTTCCATTTGAAAACGTTGGGAAGTAGTGAAAAGAAAACTAAGTAATAAAAATTTTCAGTTTATCCGCAAGACATGGCGAGAAAAAGTATGTTTCCAGATTGTACCGTTTTAGTTCAAATAAATTAGTGATGAATAAACTGTCTAAAGAGGAAAGGAGTGAGCAAAACGATTTCAGTTCCTGGTTGCATGAACTGCTTTTGATACCCTAACGATTCAATTTCTCCACGCTGCTTCTTTCTACTATCAAAATGATTTTATGCCTGCTTGATGAATATCCAACACTTGCTGTAAAATGTCGTAATAACACAAAGTGTTGCATATGATCAATATCACTTATGTGAACAAATGACGACTTGGTTGAACGAGCCGTTTCATGTAGTAAAGTTAGCAATGAACGAAAACAAACATGTATGTTTGCTGAACTGACAATGAGACTTTCATACGATTGTTTAGTGAAATAGAACACATGGAACAGAATGAATGGGAACTGATGTAACAGTTTAACATCCTTCTCGTGTGAATGTGTTTGAAGATTTTGGTGAGGGTAAGCTAAACAATTATTCATACCAATACGATCTTACAGTGTGGTGTGGAAACAATGCAGTTTAATATTCTCGTCGTAATATCATTAGTACACCACTCGGTTCCCAGCGAAACTTTCCTCCACGAACGGGAGTTGTTGCCGAGCGTGAACAAGGCTACGACTTGGCTTGTATGTAATTATCCGTGTATATTGCTTTTTTCGTAGTCACCATAAAAATACTCATGTACAGAGTGGATTATTGGACGATGCTTCCTGTGACTGATGAAAGATTTAACAAGTCCAGGATAATCAGAAGCATTCTTTGGTCAGAAAATGGGAATGGAAGATAGGTTTTCGACTGACTAAATTCACAACTCGCAGGTTATAACTGAACAGACCTTTATGACTGGTTATTGTTCAGGCTTACTCAGCTGTAACTTTCAGGTGGACAATTCACAGCCGTTACTGAAGTTCATCAGTGTATTACAACACTGACCATGAGCATAAATAAAATGACGACATTTGCTTAGTCTTTGCGTGCAGTTCAAGAGAGCTATGAATAATTATTAAAAAGAGAACATAGTGCTTAACGTAGCATAGTACTGGGTGTGCAACATTACAAAACGAAAGACATCTCAACAACGCCTGTTTAAACAAAAATTTTTGCAGTGATATCGATTGACAATGAAAATGTAAAAAAATTTTAAAACAAACAAATAAAAAGCCATCACACTTGTTCATCACAAGCAAAACAAACAGACTTAGTTCAGGAGTATTTTTACAACATCTTATCAAAATAATATACAATGAGATGGACCTCTGATTTGAACGATCTCACTTTCGATTAAATCATAAAATTTTCAGCTCAATCGCACGTCATCTTTACAAAACCTATGCAACTGTAAATTATATAGAATTCACGATTTTCTTCTGAATATTGAAGGTTTTTTCCAATCACAGAGTTACAATCATTGAGATAAAATTATAGGATGAATTGAAACAAATCTAACTGACTCACAGCAGCCGTAACACAAACAGAAGTGTAAAACATAAAGTTCATATCAAGACACAACCTGAGTGGAGGAAATGGAGTTCCAGGTGTCATTTTCTTTTTTGATGGCTACAAGAGTATCGTAGAACTGCTGAAGGCGAGCGAAGAGGTCCATTTTGATTTGAATTACCTCATTCGCCTGTTGAATGATTCGTGTAAGTCTTTCGCGCTCACTTTCGCTTAGATGTTGTGCCTCTTGTTCGATGTCCTCAAATGTTGAGAATGTGCTTCATTTCGAAGGCAAACATTTTATCGATAAGATAGGAACGCTAGTATCGATAAAGTAGTCGTTTTATCGATAAGATAATAACAAGAATCATACTGAGGTGAAAGTGCGTGAGACACCAAGGCCTGAGACATCAAAATTGATGATCAAAGGTAATCGGATTGAATCATAAATTTTTCAGCTCAATCGCACGCCATCTTTCCATATTCAGAAGAAAATCGTGAATTTTTTAAATTTACAGTTGCATAGGTTTTGGAAAGATGACGTGCAACTGAGCTGAAAAATTTATGATTTAATCTGATTACCTTTGATCATCAATTCTGATGTCTTAGGCCTTGGTGTCTCATGCACTTTCACCTCAGTATAACATGAACAATGTCCCACACGAACAGCAATAAACCAGATAAATTGATTCAGATAAGAGCATAAGGATGAACTGGATAAAGTGCTTCCGACTGAATGAAGTGCAATGAAGCAAAAGTATAGGGAGGACGAATCGCTGATAAACGAGAATAGAATAAACGAAAGAAATCAACGCAGTATACAGCATAAATACAAAATGAACACAAAACACACCTTCAGCACTTTTGCAGCCACCTGCAAATCTGCTTCACCAACTAACGACAACTCCTTTACACGCTGCTCCGCCCCTTCCAAACGTCGATCAACTGTGCGTCGAAAAACGGTTATCCGATCAAGAGATTCGTCACGTAATTTGGATAAGCTTGCTTCTCTTAATGCTGAGCACTTTTCAATGAATATATCCAACTGACTGGCGATACTTGACCACTTAATCGTATGCTTTTCGCTTTGCAACTGTTTCTCGAGCGAATCGCACTCTTTATTGATTGCCTGTAGACTTTCAGCAGCCTTCTCTTTCTGCTTCCATAGGGTACTCAATAGTTGAGATTGTTCCGTATCCACTCCATGTGCTTGCAGCTTGCGATCAATTTCAGTCACGGCACGCTGAGTTTGCTCGTAATCTAGCCAGCTCTGTTCTCGTTTACTTATCAACTGCTCTTTATCACACAGTAAAGTGGAGATCTAAAATAACACACTTTAAGAATGTTATTTTTGATCACCTCAAATGAGCACTGGGGTGTATCTGCAACGCTAAACCAGTTTCATCATGATTCTCGATATCAATTGAAAAGTACAACTAGTCAAGCAGAGAACTGTACTTTCATCATCATTCCACTCGAGACATTGTGTTCCTCAACTCAGCTCATTTGTAAGCGTTTTTTACCGCTGCATTCAAGTGGCATAAGAATTGATTTGTCGCAAGGGTCAGAAATAATCGAATAAATACCTCTGTAACGTATTTGTTCGGTTGCCTCTCAGAAACTGCTGTATATTCCTGAAAGCATTTCCACCAATTCAGTTGTTACTCATTTTCATCATAATTGGTTGATTTCGAACAACATAATTGCTTTAAAATCGATTCTTTGATGAATCATGAAACAAACTATTCGCTTCCAAAACACCATATCCATACCTCATTGAATGTGTCC